CATGGAGAGGTACCGTTCGTGACATCATTGAGGCCGGCTAGATCAGGCATGTTCACAGCCGTAACAAGTACAAGTAAGTAAGTACAGTCATGCGAATAAAGGTCTTGTTCGAGCGACTGCGTCCATTTATCAACTGCTTCCTGGGTCTCGCATCTTTGCCAGCGACATCTGTCTGCATTCTGACAAGTAGGACTTGTACGCACAGGGTCAGCTCTGGTGGGTGCCGACGAGTAGAAGTGCGTCCCGTTGCTTTAAAAAAACATTACTTGTGTATGGCAGGATATCATCGTTTCGACTGTCCTCGCTTTCCATTTGTCCCCTTACGCGTAAGGCAGAGCGTATGTGTGAGAGCAGCCACTCCTTGAAAATCGGCCACAAAGGTGACTTTCTCCGATTGTCGGAGTTTAAAACAAGTGTTATTTTTTTCAACCAAACACACTGTTCATGACTTGACTTCAAATTATGGGCTGTCGTGGCTAGAGACAACGCTCAGGGTCGCTGCAAAACCAGTTCTATCGCCAGATTAGAAACCATACAGACCACCAGAGTTCCTTCAACCTGCTCGTGCGCCCCATGGTAATTTGCAAATAGCACAGGAAGGTGTGCAGAAGAAAGGGGTCTCATTAATCGCACTGGCTCCCTTCAGTGCCGCTGCACGCGAATTTAAAGGACGGGAGGTAGGTTCAAAAGGTCGTGCTTTTTGTCAGGTTGGAATTTTGTTCCCGGAGATAATAAAAGAGAACCAAGAAGAGGAACTAATTGCAGTGATTACATTGCTTTCAAGGAACTCTACAAACATTTAGACACTCCCCGAAAGTAATAATTGGGTGCCATAGAAGGTGGCGTTCACAGGTTTCTGGTAATTCATACATTAAAAGTTATCAGCAGACTTCGTCCTTGGTCAGGTCTAGTACGAATGGAGTTCTCTACCTTGAAGCTATCAGTATTACGATGCTCTTAGGCGATTATAGTCTTCTCGCAGGCTATAAATTTTTGGTCTGAATTGTTCCGGCCAAACGCAGACTGTTTGCCCCAAGACGTACTTACACAACTGCGTTTAATCTTACCGACAGGTTTCACGTCTGTCCAGTTATAGCTCACCTCCCAACTGAATATATCCTATTCTTGTTCGGTTATCTCCTAGAGGTTACACGAAACACAACGCTAACCTCAGTGACTAGATTTAAATGAGAGGATACTGAGTAGGCCCAGCGAGTACGGAGTAATGGGATCTAAAAAAACTCCTGGAGATAAATCAGACCTCAAAATTTTTGAGGGACGAAAGAATACTTCCGTAACTTTCAATTTTGCCGCACTGAAGTAGTTCAGATTTTGGCATAGGCCAAAAAGTCCCCAGAAATCCAGAAAAACGAGCATAACAAGTGTGAAACTGACAAACACAAACGTTCCTCGCTTATCCTCAGACGTGTACCTGGACTCTGTGTGCGCCTAGAGTATGCAAAGGCGTAGTACTAGGTGTTCTTTTTAGTTTTCTCAAACAATAACAAAACAGTTGCTGGCGTAAGCAGGAAGAGCGGCGAACATGATCAGCAGGAAGAACTTCAAAATAGTGAGCCAAATGCACAGTTTATTGCCCATTCTTTTCTATCAAAAAAGGAAGAAAATCAAACAAAAAAGTAGGGCAGTAGGATTGGGCTTTTCAACAAGTACACGCAGAGAACTCAGAAGTGGACCAAGGAATGAGGGTCTTTTTACAGGTTGGAATGGGGTTCGTCCTCCGGGGGTTCATTGCTATCATTGTTATCCTTGTCTCCAGGCTTGCCAGTCATCCCTACTGAGCCGGTGGAAAGCGACCTAGCCCCGGGTGCGGCTTGTGTCGGATTGGGCAGTGAGGTCTCCGGATCAGCGGCAAAG